TCAATGGGCAGAAGTGATGTTGAGTGAGAGAAAGCAGCATGAGCAAGGCCCAGCTTGAAAGTAAGGCAGAAAGAAATGACAGGCCAATCCACCCTGTGCAAAGCAATAGGCAAAGACAGGTTTGGTGATGACAACACTGAGCTCTGAGGTTGACTCCAGAGAAGAAACTATGGCTGTGGGGTGGTGGCAGGAGGGCTGTACCTGGGTTGTGATGGCTCCCTGAAGGAAAACTGTCTCATGCATCAGCTTCAGCAATTTTTGGAAGTCCTCATCGTGGTAGTCAAACCGATTGCCGAGGGTGAGGGAGCAGATGACATTTGAAACAGCGTTAGTGAGTGTAAACTGAGGGTCAAAAGGATTCCCTGGAGAAGGAAAAGATCAATTCTCTCCTGGTCTTCTCAGAAAAGGAGAAGAAAACACACTTGGTAAAGGCAAAATAGTCAACAAATACAAATGAAATGAGTGGTCCCAGTGACCCTCCTGTGTCACTGCTTTGCTTGGACACCTCACTGCCCCATGAGCTGGCCAAGCTTGTCTGGGAAACCCCAGTAGTCCCAGTTCTGTCAGATTATGGAGATGATTATTTCCTTTGAAAAGCAAGATCTGCAGGAGAGGGTTGTCTTTGGAATACATTGGAAATATCATTGTTTCTGTCACTGGAATTCCTTGGGAACATCAGTGTTTATACACACATGGTATTTCCCAGAGATCTCAGAGAGCAGGAGGCTGAAGGTGGGCTATGAATAATGCATGGGGTGTTACCTGCCTGCACTCTCCAGTCACTTTGAAGGCCAAACCCCTGCAGGAGGGAGCAGGGATGCTGGTGGGGCTGCAGCATCCCTTGTAAGGTGAGGTATTTTTTCAGCGTGCAGTGAACCACAGGTGAAATGATACCAGGCCGTACCAGGTCCTGCCTTCAGCAGAGCTGCTGAGGGAGGCACGTGGCACTCACCCTGCTCATCCTTAAAGGCATCCACGAGGAATCGGCACTCCTCCTGGATGCGCTCCTCCACGCTCCTCTTCCCCAAGCCAAAGTTTCGGAGGGTGCTCAGGGTGAACCTCCTCTGTGCCTTCCACAAGTGCCCACTGGAGGAGATCAGTCCTGGCAGAAACAGCCCCCTGTGAGCCAAGGCTGATCCCCCACTGAGGGGAAAAAGCTTCAGGTCTCTGCCTTCTCCCCAGCTGTCTCAGACCTCTGCAGGGCCAGCACCTGAACCTTACAGCTGAGGTGCATGTCTTGAGAGATCACTCACCTATCTTGCTGAACATATCCATAGGAATTTCTGGGCGATCCAAAAAGTTATCCCCTTGGTTTACAAGCACTTCCTTAACCAGCCGCATCCCATTTACTACCACAAGCTTCATGCTGCCCATGGACATGCCGAAGATGTCACCATATTTTTTAGTGTACTGGGAGAGGAAATAATAAAGGGGGTTTCATTTGAAGTGAATGTGTCTGTTGGGACAGGGACAGCCCTGTCAGGGCATACAGGTGAATATAAGGGAAGCTGACAGTGTGAGGGACAAAGAAATTTTGTACAAATCTCTGCCTGACTGCACAGTGTTTTCTCTTTCCTCTTTTTCTGAACAACTGATCACTAAATCAAGTAAACCTCTCCAGCTTTCATTTTGTAGTTTTGTGTTTTTCGAGCTTTTCCCTTCCCAAACACTGTTACAGCCCACGCTCAGTCCTACGGGGCTCCTACAGCTGCAACTGCACCTGTGGGATCATGTTGTGCCCTTTGCCCCAGGGATCACTGCACACTTGTGCCCCACCGTGTACCCAGGCAAACGGTTGAGGGCAAACCTCCTGCCTGCCTTCCTGGCCCGTGGGGACTGGTTTAATCCCTTCCCTGTAGGGGCAGTTCCCTCTGTCCCTTCCCCCACAGTGCCCACTACCCCTGTACCTTCTGCACTGTGATATGCGGAGCTTTGAAGTCCATCATGTAGATGTGTCCTAAAAAGGGAAGGCGTAAAGGGGTGGGAGGGAAGTTCTTTGGGTTTCTGTTCTTCATGTAGTCAGCGACAAACAGGAAGACAATGAGGAAGACGAGGAGCGTATGGAAGGAGATGCTGTCCCAGAGGAAGTGCAGCATGGCTGGATGGAGGGGCTGTGCACGGACGTGTCCCACGGCAGGTCAGGGCAGGTCAAGCTCCCAGGGCACCACTGAATCCCCAGGGACAGGGACAGAGGGGTGACGTGCTGGCTCTGTGAGCACNAGAAAAATTGAATAAAGGACTGAAACCCCCTTAAAAACCCAAAAATTGAGGATCCTGCAATGCTGTGCTTGCTGAAGTGCTGGAGTTGGTGGAAATAGCTCAGCTCCAGAAGAGCAGGAATCCCTCATGAAGGAAGGACTTGTGTGTTGCCAGGTATTAGAGCAGGCAGGTTGGCAGTCAATGGGCAGGAGAAGTGATGCTGAGGGAGAGAAAGCAGCACGAGCAAGGCCCAGCTTGAAAGTAAGGCAGAAAGAAATGACAGGCCAATCCACCCTGTGCAAAGCAATAGGCAAAGACAGGTTTGGTGATAACAACACTGAGCTCTGGGGATGACTCCAGAGAAGAAACTATGGCTGTGGGGTGGTGGCAGGAGGGTTGTACCTGAGCTGTGTTGGTTCCCTGAAGGATAATAATCTCATGCAGAAGCTTCAGCAATTTTTGGAAGTCCTCATCGTGGTAGTCAAACCGATTGCCAAAGATAAGGGAGCAGATGACATTTGAAACAGCATTAGTGAGTGTAAACTGAGGGTTGAAAGGATTTCCTGGAGAAGGAAAAGATCTATTCTCTTCTGGTCTTCTCAGAAAAGGAGAAGAAAACACTCTTGGTAAAGATAAAATAGTAAACAAATATGAATGAAATGAATGGCCCCTGATAGACACCGGCCTCGGTCACTGCTTTGCTTGGACACCTCGCTGTCTTGGCTTGGCAACTCATTGGTCCCAGTTCTGTCAGATTATGGAGATGATTATTTCCTTTGAAAAGCAAGATCTGCAGGAGAGGGATGTCACTGGAATGCATTGGAAACATCATTGTTTCTGTCACGGAAATTCCTTGGGAACATCAGTGTTTATACACACATGGTATTTCCCAGAGATCTCAGAGAGCAGGAGGCTGAAGGTGGGCTATGAATAATGCATGGGGTGTTACCTGCCTGCACTCTCCAGTCACTTTGAAGGCCAAACCCCTGCAGGAGGGAGCAGGGATGCTGGTGGGGCTGCAGCATCCTTTGTAAGGTGAGGTATTTTTTCAGCATGCAGTGAACCACAGGTGAAATGATACCAGGCCGTACCAGGTCCTGCCTTCAGCACAGCTGCTGAGGGAGGCACGTGGCACTCACCCTGCTCATCCTTAAAGGCATCCACGAGGAATCGGCACTCCTCCTGGATGCGCTCCTCCACGCTCCTCTTCCCCAAGCCAAAGTTTCGGAGGGTGCTCAGGGTGAACCTCCTCTGTGCCTTCCACAAGTGCCCATTGGAGGAGATCAGTCCTGGCAGAAACAGCCCCCCGTGAGCCAAGGCTGATCCCCCACTGAGGGGAAAAAGCTCCAGGGCTCTGCCTTCTCCCCAGCTGTCTCAGACCTCTGCAAGGTTGTCACTTGGGCCTTAGAGATGAGGTGCATGTCCTGAGGGATCACTCACCTATCTTGCTGAACATATCCTTGTGAATAGGCATTTCTGGTCGCTCCAGGAAGTTTTCCCCTTGGTTTACGAGCACTTCCTTAACCAGCCGCATCCCATTTACTACCACAAGCTTCATGCTGCCCATGGACATGCCAATGATGTCACCATATTTTTTACTAAGCTGGAAGGGGAAATAAATAAAAGGAGTTGCATTTGAATGAATCTATCTGTTGGGACAGGGACAACACTGTCATAGGGCACAGGTAAAAATAAGGGAAGCTGAGAGTGGGAGAGGAAAGAGAATTTGTGCACAAATCTCTGCCTGATCGCACAGTGTTTTTTCTTTCCTCTTTTCCTGAATCACTGATCAGGACTTGGTGTTGATTGTCCATAAATCAAGTAAACCTCTCCAGCTTTCATTTTTCAGTTCTATATTTTTCCAGCTTTTTTTGTGCTCCCTTCCCAAACACCCTTCCAGACCCAAACTCAGACCTACGGGGCTCCTACATCTGTGACTGCAACTGTGTGATCCTGTTGTGCCCTTTGGCCCAGGGATCACTGCACACTTGTGCCCCACCTTGTACCCAGGTAAACGTCACTTATGATTACAAAACTCCTGCCTGGCACAAGGGGTCTGATTTAACCCCTTCCCTGCAGCTACAATTCCCTCTGTCCCTTCCCTCACAGTGTCTACTACCCATGTACCTTCTTCACTGTGCTTATGGGATCTTTGAAGTCCATCAAATAAAGGTGCCCTACAAAGGGAAGGCGTAAAGGGGTGGGAGGGAAGTTCTTTGGGTTTCTGTTCTTCATGTAGTCAGCGACAAACAGGAAGACAATGAGGAAGACGAGGAGCGTATGGAAGGAGATGCTGTCCCAGAGGAAGTGCAGCATGGCTGGATGGAGGGGTTGTGCACGGATGTGTCCCACAGCAGGTCAGGGCAGGTCGAGCTCCCAGGGCACCACTGAATCCCCAGGGACAGGGACAGAGGGGTGATGTGCTGGCTCTGTGGGCACAAACACAAGAGAGCACGGAGCAGCTTTTGCTGCCC